ACAATTTTAATTGACGAACAAAATTGAATATCATTGCATCCTTCAAGGTTCCGAGACCAACATCTTCCGCACTGGATTGGCGGAACCTGTAAGTCTCGTTGTCCTCGGTGACTATGTCTTCTGGACTCAATACAAGTCGAAACAATTGCACTGGACCAGCAAAAGCGATACCCACCAAAAACAGAAACGCATCGCGTTACGTGAGTTAAATTAAACGAATACGGTAAAATAAAGGGAGGTTTAATGTTACTTTTTAGTAACTCTAAGAAATAATTCTGTTTCTTTAGAAACACCTGAAGATTCGGACAGGTTACTGTTAATCGGTTTGCACGGAGCGTATGTAAATGAGCACGAATGTCGTAAAAACAATGGGAACTGTTCTCATGTGTGCCTGCTATCTAATCTTCGCTCGCACGTAAGTCCAAAACGCTTCGATTAACACGTTCGTTGCCGCTTCGATTCTCATAGAAATGTTCACAAATATTCATATGGCGATCAACGTGTTAATATAATTTGCTAAATTAATGAATCCTGGTTTTCTATTTCGTGCATAACTTCCAGATTTGCGCGTGTCCCCCTGATATGATGCTAAGTGAAGATAACAGAACGTGCATTGCTCAAACAGCTTGCGAGCCTGGCGAAGTAAAATGCAGGGAACACGACAAATGCATAAAATTGCATCAAAGGTACGCTACGGAAATTTTTTATGCGTTTAATTATATTATAAATAAAATTAATTTCTTAGACGTTTTCGTAACATCGTTGTTTTGATCGTTACTTCAGATGCGACGGCGTGCAAGACTGTCCTAACGGTGAAGACGAATCGGATGTATGCGACGAACTGCAGTTGTCAAATTGTGCAAAGGACCAATTCCAGTGTCACAACGGAGAATGCGTAAACAAGGAGGCAGTTTGCAATTCCCACTACGACTGTACAGATCGATCGGACGAACAGGACTGTGATAAAAAAGAATGCAACTCTAGTAAATCAAAACATTTACTCAATATTATTTACAATGTCTTCATTGTTTACAACAATAAGACCATTTAAATTCGGCGTAACGTTATGCTAGTTATTATATACTGTGTATATAACAAAACGATATAATGTAGATCCAATCGAGGATATAAACTATTCGATAGCAATGTTCGCAATTATAATACGAACGACAAGCTCTATTATCTGATTCAATAAATTAACATTGACTAAACATTTTTTCTTACTCTTCCTACGCTTTGACTTTTCACTTTTTCCATATTTTACTTGGAAGAAATGGGGTCCTTCGATCGATCTAATTACCTCTGTGCCTTGTTAGAACTATGTTTCTCTTATATTAAATTCTTACAACCAGTTTATAACGCGCGATAAGGAACATTGAATTCGCGTAACGAATAATGATACTGTCGCGAAACATCGATATCGGAAAACAATGTTCGATATCGCGCGGACACGAATAAATTATCGACGATGCTTTGAGAATCGGCACTTATTCACAGTAGAAATTTAATATCTTTCAGAAGAGTTTGAATGTCACGAAGGGACTTGCATATCAAAATATCTCGTGTGCGACGGACAACCCGACTGCTCCGATTTTTCTGACGAAGTGAATTGCCAGATACACACGTGCGACACTGGCAGCTTCGCATGCGAAAGTAAAAAGTGCATCCCTGAAACATGGCAATGCGACGGCGAGGTGAGTCTATGATTTCTATCGACACAATGTTTAAACAAATAAAATAAGATGTTTAAATTCAAATGTTATCATTGATAATTGATATATTTTTTTCTTATAACTCAGGTCGACTGCCCAGATGGTTCCGACGAGAGTGAAACGTGTCAAAGAATGTCGTGCCCCTCTGAAATGTTCGCTTGTCACAATGGTCGTTGTATAGACTCCTCTTTAAAGTGCAACGCGGTCGACGATTGCGAGGATAACAGCGACGAGCAATACTGCGTAGAAGGAAGCACGAGTACCTTCGCAAATTGCACAGCAGACGAATACAAGTGCTATAATACGGAAATGTGTCTTTCGAAGACAGTAAGGTGTGTTAGGCCAGGGACCCTCGTACGTGGTCTTCGCCAATGTTTTTTACCCTCGATATTATTTAACAGGTGCAACGGCGTCCAGGATTGTCCAAAGAACGACGACGAACGTAACTGCGCTCGGTGCCAAAAGGGAGAATACGTTTGCGACAACCGGAAGTGCATCGATGAATCTTGGGTATGCGATACGTACAACGACTGCGGCGATGGGTCCGATGAAAGAGATTGCGACGGTAGCATAGCGAAGAAAATCGGTGTGAGCAATATTTCTAATTGCAAAGAATTCAGATGTTCCAATGGAGTTTGCCTCCCGTTCGACAAAGTGTGCGACGGAATAATAGATTGTCCAGATAGGAGCGACGAGTTCGGAGAATGCAGTAAGTATTTATACTTTTAACCATTTGTCAAAAGTCTAGGATATATCTGTATTATTTTTACAGCAACATCGTGTACAAAAAACAATCCCTGCGAGAATGTATGCTATAAGACGCCTCTGGGTTCTGCGTGCGGTTGTCGAATCGGGTATCAATTGAGCCGCGACTTTAGATCGTGCGAAGACATCAACGAATGCGAACACAATGCCTGTCCGCAGTCATGTCGCAATACGGATGGATCTTTCACTTGCTCTTGTTACGAGGGTTACGTACTTCGTAGCGACAAAATTTCTTGCAAAGTGGCTGGTAAGAAACTGAGGATCTTTATGCGAAATAAAATCTTTGGAAACGTACCTACAGAAATTGAATCTAAGCAGGAATTGATTTTACTCTGCAAATATTATTATTGCACATTAACTGTGATAACAGGACCACAGATGAAGATAATCACTGTCGCTGGAAACGACATCAGAAAATTGTCACCGAGCTTGGATTCGATCCAAGTTGTATACGAAGAACTAAACACCGAAATAAGTGGGATCGACGTGAATGCGAACGAGGGAAGCATCTATTGGAGTAACGGTAAGACATTTAAACATTTAAGTAATAAATCAATTTATTTGTGAAATGAGTTTGTACATGTGAATAATAGGTGACTTGGAAATATATGTTATTTCTGAAATAATTAATTACGATTTTGCCCCCAGATGAGTTAGGCATGATAAGTAAAGTACACTTGGAAAGTAGAGAACAAATGCTTGTTACTGGTCTTGGGAGACCAGAAGCACTTGCCGTCGACTGGATCACCGATAACGTATATTTTACCGATAACGATCATCAGAGCAGCATCAAGGTACCATACATTTATCAATCGAAATATTTGTTCGATCGAATAGATTCTGAAAAAAATGTTCTAACGACGATTGCAGGTATGTAATCTGGACCAACAGAGGTGCGCAACAGTAGTCACGATCGGGGCACGAATTAAAGCGATGTCGATCTCCGTCGATCCGAAACGGGGGTACGTTTTAAGTTTGAGTATGCATACTAAATAATTTCTAAATAATTGCAATTATAACACATTGATGCAGGTTGCTATTTTGGAGCGAAACAAGTTGGATCGAGTACGATAGACCCACTAGTTCGATATATCGGTCCAGTACAGCAGGTTCTAACGCAACAAAAATAGTATCGCGAAATGTTGGTATCGTCTATGCAATAACGATCGATCATACAAGATCTAGATTGTATTGGTCGGACACTCTCCTGAAAACTATCGAGTCCTCATATTTCGACGGTTCTGATCGTATGATATTTATGAAGACGGGTGTAAGTATAATCGGAATTTTTTACTTGTTTATTGTTCGAATAAAATGCCCTCTCCTCGTATCTAATACCTCAGGTTTATCAAGCTCTGAGCATGAATATATACGAAGATTCCATATACTGGTTGGTGGGTACAACAAGCATGTTGAAAAAATGTAAATTATTTGGCGACAAATCGTGCTCGTCGATCTCCATTGGCAAATCAAATATCGACAACCATTTTGCGATTTTGCACCCTTCGAGACAGCCTATTGGTAAGTGTATCAATGATTAATCATTTATTACCATTACAAAGTAACTGATATTAAGAAGTTGATTTATGTTTCATATCTTTGTTAAACAGGAAAGAACACTTGCGAGGGTCATAAATGTAATTACATGTGCGTATCGAATGGCAATAATTCTTTATGTATTTGTCACGATGGCCACCCGAAAGATTCCAAAGGTCTCTGCACGGAAGCCATAAATTCAAGAATTAAATTTAATTCAAAAAGTACTCGAAGTGACAAGAGTACTCGACAACAAAACGGAGCGTTAATTGGAGTAATCGTCACATTGTTAGTTTGCGTTATAGGTGTTTCGGGATATTTTTATTATCGGAAAACCAAGCCTAGCTTTTTAAAACAGAATTCTTTGAGGTAAATTAGTAAACCATTTTCAACGATTTATACAAAATATTTCCTCTTTTAAATTCCTGAATGTTATCTCATTATTTATTTACAGTATTCATTTTCAAAATCCATCGTACGACCGACGAGACGAAATGGCATCGCTCTGTTATACATCCGATTTACCTCCAGGGGAACACGAATACGTGAATCCAGTGGCTGATATGACAAAGGTAATGTAGGTATACTTTATTCAGTTTCAGGGAATTAATTTAAGAATTAATTAATAATATATTAATTTGTACCTTTTATTCAGAAGTACAAAAAACTAGTAATAGAGAACAATGAGAAACCGATAATAAGTATAGATTCCGATCTGTCGGATAACGAGATCGAAGATTCAGAATGCAAATCAAACATTCGTTTAATATATTAAGATATATATATATATAAATGAAAGTAAGCGTCGAAGTAAAATGTAATATTTATGAATATTTAATTATTTCATTTATAAAACCTGTACATAGAAAAATATTGTTGCAACATTTTAAACAATAAATAAATGAAAACAATCATCGGTATAATTTTTTTTTTAAACGTTCTAGTAGCGTTCATTGGTTTATGGTCAAAATAAATCATAATAAAAAGTACGCTGTAATACATTTTACTAACATTTGTACATACAGAATTATTTAAAATATAACTTGCTCTAAGTCTCAAATTAGGAAGGGGCCATCAACAGCGCCAATTCCTGCTGCTATTCCACCTTCGTTTTCGTTACATTGTTTAGTTCTTAAAATGTGACCTATCTCTTTGTTATATATAATATTTTCGTGGTCCCTATAAAAGAAGAAATTTGTTATCGCATGATACTTTTTAGGAAGTGAGGTTATGATAAGGACACTTTATTATTTACCCTATAATAACTCCGTAAATGCCAAGCTCTGATACAACATCGATGAACCGATTGTCATTCTCAAATGGCTCGTTTTGAGCGCGTACAATATAATTTTCTTGTACTGGCGGATAAAAACGTTCCATGAGTATCCAAGCGGTCCTCTCCTTGGAAGATCTCATAGCTTTCAAACGCTGCTTCATTTCTTCGTTATACAAATTGTTTCCACCACCTTCTCTTTGTGGTTTGAGAACATATTTTGTCGGCTCTGATATAGCTTTGTCAATGATTGTCTCTGCTTCCTCATTCTGTTTTTCCAAAAATATTAATCACATTTCTTTAAAATTAATATTTGTATAATATACATTATCTATTATGCTTACGAATTCTAACGAATAAAGTCTACCAAATATTTGCTCCAGTTGGTTTATTATAGCCTTTTCTTTTAAGAATTTCTTTAAATCGTTACTATTCGTTAAGGACTGTTGGACCTAGAATAAGTGTTATGTTATACAACATTATTCGGTAAAGAAATATATCATCCAGTACATACTTTTTACAATCAATATACCTTTTTAGTACCAGCTAAATGATACTGTATCGACGGGCATTTTATTGCGCGGGAACGTTCTATCAATAGTCTCACTGACCATTCTTGTTCTGTAGGATAGGCTTCAACTTCATAACCAGAACGGAAGTAGACTAAACCAACTTCTTCATCTCCACTAAATACATTTAAAATAATTACTAGGTCATTTTTTATCTGAACATAAACAGTGGATTTAAAAGTGCTATAGAAAACTTCCAACTTTTTTTATTATTTACTTTAACAATTACATAGACATACATTATTAATTCTTTGTTTGATCCCAATTTTGCTTCAGACACTAAATCTGTTAAACTTCTTCTGATTAGTTTAAGATAAGGATTCCTTTTACGAATTTCATATTCAAGAAATCTCTGATCGCATATATTATAAGTAATGGTTTCAACAACAAATAATATCACAGACCTAAAATTAAAAATAATAATTGTATAATGATTGCTACAAATTGTTCTCTTTTGTTGTGCAGCAAAACTTCTTACTTTTCATTGTTGTATAATTTCCATGCATGTGTTAAACCTTCACAGATAGCTTTATTGGGTTCATTTCTTGGTAGCTAAAGATTATTTAACTATTAAAGATGTTTCATAGCTTGTAAACACAAAGGAAGAAATTTACTTACATATGTTACTTTGTCTGAATCTCCCAATTCCAATAAGACATACCTATAAAAAATGTTAATATTATGACAAATACTTCAAATTCCCTCAGAGTATAATAAAGTTTTGATTATAATAATTTACTTATGACATTCAGTAGTAACTGATGATATCCCTCCAAAACTACTGGCAATAGTATTTAATTCAACTTGTTTAATCTGATCTTCATGTAACATATAATCAGACCGAAGCACACCAATGCTTATAGTCTGTAAATAGAAAATATATCAAATATTTGGAAACAAAAAAAGAATGCAATAATAGATTTGTATTAATTACAAATTACTTGACTGTATCCTTCTTTATGTACAGTTTCATAAATATTAAATAATTTTGCAGTAAATGAATCAGCAGCAATTGTACTAAAAATAACAAAATAATTAGTTACAATAATATAAGAAAAAAAGAAAGAATTTAATATTTTAATTTTATTAACCTTTCTAAACTCTTTGTAATAAAACTATGATTATGTGCAACATTATGAGTAAGTTCATTTAATACTACTTGAATTCTTTTCACTTTGTGAAAATGCTCTTTAGGAAAAGTTGATGGCAATAATGTAAATGGTAAAACTTGCACTTGATTTTTATTAAAGGATTCCCTTGGTCTGAAACTCATACCTAAAACAAGGAGTAAAACTATATTGTAACTCTTAGGAAAACTATCATTAGATGCTTTTCACCATGCAAACTGAGGCATGATTAGTTTGTAATTTTTAAAATAATTTATAAATGTGTACCATGCATAAGTGCCCAATCTCTAGCCTTGTCTATGAGACACTCCAATTCTTCTCTTGTAAAGTGTAGTGCAACACAAGATGGTAAACGAGACACTTCCATAATTTCACTAATTTAACACAATTATGCGGAATGCCAAAGAAGAAATAACAGTAGACTCGTGTCAACTATCGTTTAAAATGATTTTTAGATTAAAATGACAAGTCACTGCTTTATCTTATACCGGAGATCCTTATCTTATACCACTGCTACGCAGTGATGGCTTACAATGACTTCCTTCTTCATCATGTTCATCACTGTTATTTAGCATCATGGTCTTATGACAGTTACATGTGGTCACGTTACATGGTATTCCAAAGTATTATCAGTTATCATCATATATATAGTTATTATCAATGTGATCACGAGGTGGTACAAGCACGTGATTATTGTTACTAGATTTCATTTTTTCAACGGATAAAATATAAATGTTCAAATTAAGTGAAAGACCAAATAACTTTTCGACTTGTATAGGTAATTTATACAAATTCGTAATTTCTTATTACTTATATTTACAAGTGCAATATTATTATACATATATATATATATATATATATATTAATTTTGCGCTAGTGGCGCCGATGGTGACAAAACGCCCAAGTTTGTAGTGAAAATAGTTCATACCGTTTCTGTAAGATGGCACAAGTGATATAAAGTCACAAAAACATTGCTGGCGCCATCTATAAAAAATAGTAGGAACTATTTTCACTACAAACTTGGATGTTTTGCCACCGATGGCGCCACTTGAGCTAAAACCAGTATTAGTATATTTTATTTGTACCTGAAGTAGTGTTATAGTTACATTTCCTACAGCTTTACACTTAAATAAATAAATAAATAAATAAAATATTAAAATATTTCTGAAATTGTCTGGTACCAGAGGGCACCTGGTACCCGCTCATAGAGCTGTTTTATGAGCGTTGGCCTTTCTGTATTCACAGCTTGCTATTCGAACACGTATACATCGCGGTCTTCATAGTTGTATGTTTCATGACCGACGCTTGCGCTGTACCGTTCCTTCTGTGAAAGCACAGTTCTTTCACTCGTAAACCTCTGCTTTGTACTATTGTGTACTTTTAAACCAGAGCGTTGTAATATTTGTATTTTGTGTGAAATACGTTCGAAGCATTAAATATTAGCGTGAATTTACATAGAACGAATTGTTAATAACAATTCCCAGAAAGAAATATTGTAATAGTTCCACTCGTATTGCTGCTTCATGTTCCATCATGAGTGACTATTCAGCGGTTGCTCCGCCTCAAAATTTTAGCCAAAGCTCCGCGTTTGCGGCGGCTTTGCAACGTGCAAAACAAGTAAGTGAGTACGTCAAACTAATGTAGCATAGGTTAGGATCTAATTAAAATCTCGTAAGTAGGCTATACAGTTTTTTATACATACATAAAACCATATCCCGATATACGTTGTTAATAAACAAATAATTTGTAACCGCATTACCAACTTTATTCGTTCAGGATAATGATCTTGTATTTCAGCGTTTTCTTATTTTCATTGGAAAAGTATTGAAGAAACTAACTTTCACGTTAATGTTTATTACTGTACTAACAATGTTACGAAACATTTATGTATTGTATTGTTTACTCGAATAAAATCACTTATATTCATACAGTTGTAGAGGGTTATTTAATCTTTGGACTTTGTAAAGATAGCATAAATCTGTAGACTGAAATTTAATTGTTCAAATACCATCTAATAAATAGTTATACTATGTGTATAAGTTATTGCAATAATTGCCATGTAAATATGACTTCTAATTTTTAGATAGCTGCTAAGATTAATCCTGCTGGTGCTCAAAATAATCAAGATGCCAAGTTAAAGCGTCCTCTTGAAGACGGCTCAGGTAAGAATGTTATATACATACAAAAGTTATATTTCGTTAAATATTTTAGGAATCAGAAAATTAGGAAAACTGGAATTACTAATGTAATTTACCTAAAAATTATTATTTGAATCTTGTCAGAAATTATTTTTACATAAAGGAATGATTCTGTTGAATTCAGATGTAGCTTAACATTTCTTGAAAGTAAAAAATCCATCTTTATTTATTGGATAACAATCAAGTTATCCTTCCAGAACCAGAAGCAAAGAAAATGGCATCGTTAGTAGCAGATCCTTTAATTGGACTTCGTGGTCCACCAGGAAGTAATTCATTAGGAGATTCAAGTAGTCAAGGTGGAAGATCAGGACCAACAGGATCATCCTCAGGACCAATTGGGAATGTAGGAGGTATTTGTAATGAAGATATCAGAGTTCCAGATAAAATGGTTGGTTTGAGTAAGTACAAGTGAAATTATAAACATTTTTCTACATACAATTAAATGATTAAATATAAATTTACATGTTTGTATTTCATTAAATGTTCCTGTTATTTTATTGTGACTACACATTTTGATTTAACATTCAGTGTATGCATTATTAATTAATAATGATATGTTTGCAGTAATTGGCAGAGGTGGAGAACAAATAACAAGATTGCAAAGCGAAACAGGATGTAAGATACAGATGGCACCAGAAAGTGGTGGGCTACCTGAACGTGTTTGCACATTAACTGGCTCACGAGAAGCTGTCAAGTAACTTGTTTTTCCCTTCTTATTTCGTTAATTTTAACTACTTTGTATGCAATGCAATTTCCACTTTACAAACTCATGTCTAGATGAAAGGATTACATTATTGTGCTACATGAAGTGGCCCTTGTTAATCACACTATATAATGAAAAATATATATTTTACATTTGTACATATACTTATGTACAATATATATGTATATACAGTTATTGTATATATTGTACACATATAGAGTTATTGTGCATACATATAAATATGTATTTACATATATGTTTATACATGTTCACATATATAATAACACATGTACAGAAAAACAAACCTGCTATCCTCCTTGTATTTGATGTATAGGAAGTTTTTTAGACTCTAATTTACTTAACAAATTATCCACATAGTTAATGTCATCGATTCTCCTAGAAACACCTGAAAGTATCAACTATTTATTTCAACAAAATGGTTTTGAAAATCACTGCAGTATTGTAATATAATATTACAGTGCTTTGTACACTCTAAGCGTATCCGTTAGAAAATGTGTTCTACGCACGAATAGTACTGGTGAAATATAGTTTGCGTGTATCTAGTATACTTCATATGCTATCATTTCATGTTAACATGCATTTCTTAAATGTAGGTTACATGCTTTCGCGTACTGAAATTGTCAAATGTTTTACAGAATCTTTATTTAGCACCTGGATGTGAATAGCGGGCTCATACTTGACTTTACATATGCTTCAGAATATTTATCTCATTGAGAATTTATCCATAAGTTGTGGCTTTTAATTTAATAATTTTGTACTTACTAATAGTTTTTTGCTTTCAATAGGATATGGAGAAAGAAGGATGGAAGGAGGATAGGATATGCATGGGGACGTGTTATTCGCAACAGGAAGAAAATTGAACTTTTTATTTATTTAAATCTGCTTATAATTAAGCCTATGACATTTTAACATGGAATTTGATTTTATTATACACTTAAGAAATAACTCTCTGTCAAACAAAGAATAATGTGACATTTGTAACTTATATTTTTGGCACACAGTAGACATCACATTATGTGTTGCAAACAAATTACATTATCGTATATCGATAGATTATAATTGAACTAGAAATTATTCAAAATTATATCGCACATTTAAATTATGTGTGTTGCAGTCGAGCTAAAGAATTGGTACTATCAATTGTCAATCAGAGAAGTAGAACTGAAGGAATTGGCGATATGAATATGAGTGGGAATAATAGTGGTATGATGGGACATCCCGGATTTGTCGAAATAATGATTCCTGGGCCTAAAGTTGGTTTAATTATTGGAAAAGGGGGAGAAACGATAAAACAACTTCAAGAGAAATCTGGAGCTAAGATGGTTGTTATTCAAGAAGGACCTTCTCAAGAACAAGAAAAACCTTTGAGGTAATAATTGCAATTTTTAAAAATCGAAGGTCTTCCGACAATAGTAACAGTTGCATATGTCTTTCTTCGTGTAGGATAACGGGTGATCCACAAAAAGTTGAATATGCCAAACAATTAGTATATGAATTAATAGCTGAAAAAGAAATGCAAATGTTTCATAGAGGTGCAAGAACTAGCGATAGGAGCGGAAGTTATTCAAATGATAGCAGTTTCAATCATGGTTCTGGAGGTGGCGGCGGCGGTAGCGGCGGCGGTGGTGGAGGTGGTGGTGGAACCACCGATGGAGTAGAGGTACAATACGTATATTTTATGGATAATTAACATGCCAATGACATCCGTATACAGAAAATATAATGTATTTATTCGTCAGGTACTTGTTCCGAGAGCAGCGGTAGGCGTTGTCATTGGTAAAGGAGGAGACATGATAAAAAAAATACAGGCGGAAACTGGTGCAAGAGTTCAGTTCCAACAGGGAAGAGAAGATGGTCCCGGAGATAGAAAATGTATATTATCTGGGAAACATCAAGCTGTAGAACAAGTTCGTCAACGCATTCAAGAACTCATTGACAGTGTAATGGTAAGTACTACACTAAGCGTTTGTTCATGTTATTGTATTCTACAAGTAGAGGATATGCTATTCTTTCTTCAAATCTTATTTTCTTAGAGAAGAGATGATGGTAGAGGTAACATGGGAGCAAGAAGTGGTGGTCCGCGAGGCAATGGATTTGGCGGCAATCGTAATCCAAATGAATACGGAGGTTGGGACAGACGTCAGGGAGGACCTATGCAAGATAAAGTAGAAACAACATTTACTGTCTTATCGTCAAAGTGTGGTATTATTATTGGAAAAGGTAAAGTTGCATTAATTTACGGATATTGTTTGTGTTCGCAAAGATAAAGATAATTCAATTGTTTATTTTAATTACCATAGGCGGCGAAACTATTAAGCAAATAAATCAACAAACTGGGGCTCACTGTGAATTGGATAGAAGAAATCAAAGTAATGAAAATGAGAAAATTTTCATAATTCGTGGCAATCCTGAGCAAGTTGAACATGCAAAAAGAATATTTAGTGAAAAATTAGGCATGGTAAGTATCGGATAACCTAAAAATAAATACGATTGTTGTATCGCTAATTTATTAATTCTTCGTTAATTTAAATAAAGGCACCGGCTAACCCATCGTTTACTGGCGCACAAGGGGCAATCGGATATAACCCAACCTGGAATACTGGAACAGCTTATCAAGCATGGCCAAATCAACCTCAAACAACCGATACAAGTACGTTTACTTTTATTTTTTTATTAAGAAAGTACAAATACTTAATTCTTAAGTATACAATTATTTATTGTTATAGATGCAGGCAACCAAGCACCTGTTCAAGTAAATCCACAAACAGGACAACCGGATTATAGTGCGCAATGGGCGGAATATTACAGATCGCTCGGTATGCATAGAGAAGCAGATATGATCGAGCAACAAGCGAAACAAGGAAAACAGGATCACAATCCACCAACAGGTAAATAATAATAAATGATACAACAATTTTTGTTCATTAATTCTTCAACTTACGAATATCCATTCTTACAGGGAATCCTCCGAATCAACCTAACCCTACAACAGCTGGTAATTCTGGACCAGCTCCACAACAGCAACAACCTCAACAACCACAGCAAACGGGAGCTACTCAAAATGGAGGTCAAGCCGACTACAGTGCACAATGGGCAGAATACTATAGAAGTATTGGTAAAATAAAAGAAGCAGAAGCTATAGAAGCTCAAATGAAAGCGGGAAAGGTACGTTAACGCTACAAGCAAGAAAGAACTATAATAAACCTGGCTTTTATACAGGGTGAACCACCAAATTTCATCACCTCGAATAGCTCTTGAATTGTATGGTTGAAGTCATTAAGCTGTTTGAGGTTATAGGTTAGGTGATTCGCCCTGTATGAAAACCGATAAGATAATACGCTCAAATTTTAGTTGGGAATGCAGAACAATCAAATGGCTCAACAACAAATGCAACAGAGCATGCAAGGTCAATCAGGTCCACCGGGCGGTGCTCCTAACGCGTTTCCACAAACTTATGGTAGTTATCCAACAATAAATCCTGGTTCAACTCCGACGGGGTATTACGCAGCAGGGGCTGGATCTGCCACCCAACCACAAGCTGGTCAACAAAATCCATCTTTCCCCGGGGGCTATCAGAACTATCCTTATTCGCAAACGAATACAGAAAGTTAAACTTCCATCAAGGAAAACATAAACTGTAAGTGTTAATTTCTGCGTGTTACATAAATACTTGAATACAAATTAGAAAATTGTATGATACGATATTTCATTTAATAATGTAACAAGAATATTGGCACTCATGTATATTTTTAATTCTACCGTATGATTACGATATAATATAGAATATTCACAAATTATGTGGTACTACCAGTTACATATATTTACCCATTTTTTTACTTTTTTATATCATACAATTTTGTTCGAACTTTAATTTTTTATATTAAGTCAATGTAAAATTGAGTGCAATAATAACATTCAATTCTTAAATTGTTGAAGTAGTTTCTGAAAATCGTGAAAAAAATTTGTGTATATGAAATTCGAATACATCGTTTCCTAATCTATAAGTTAATTTGATTTATAATTTGTTTCCCGAATTAATTTTTCATTGGCTATGATAAATTTGCAAACTAAAAAACGTTGTATTTGAAATTCCTATTAATGCAGTTTTTATATCAAACAAACATAATTCATGAGTAATATGTGTATTATTATTCTATTTTATACATATGTCAACGTTTCAGTGTAAAATACAATACATAACACAATTCTTTCAATATATCATACTATATACGGAGTAATTTTACTTTAATACGTTATTCTTCCATATGTATTTGCAATATTTATATATTAATTATGTAATTGACCATGTACTATTATATTCGATCACTTGTATTTATATTGGCTTGATATTTATCGTTTATTATGAAAATCAATGGTGTAAGAAGAGAATACCATATGCGCGCTGATAACTGTTGATACTTTCAGGGAGTGAAATGTTGATAAAAATGATAGATTCTTAATATTTTAATGATGGTCTTAATATCTTATGATGGTTTATCTGGTTATTGAAACAATATATTTTACACCTTTGAAAGTACATTTACAGTATATATCTATATACGTTTCATATGTTTTATTATAATTGTTTGTTTATTTCAGATAGTTTTCAGATAGTTTCCCAATGGGATGTGGTTAATGCCTGCTGTAACTTCATACACTGTTTACAATAAATTACGATAGTTGATCGCTTCGCAAAACTCATAAAACTTTGAAAAATGCCACTAGAACCGACTATGTTCTATTTATACTATAATATTTTGTGTTTTTTTTTATATACAAAGACATATATACATATTGTAGGATACTCATGGTTTTAATTTTAAGTAATGAAAAGTGCCCGAAGTTTATCATTATAATATAATATCGACATGATGTCTACTTGTGTTCTACTTATAGTATTGTATGTATTTTTGTTCCATAACACCTGATTGTAACATAAATTGAAACTGACAGGTGAAGCAGCAGGTCAGAAACAGGAACGGGGAATCTACAACAATATCCATATTATTATGCTTCCCATTTGTCATAAAAAGTACTAAAAATTATCTTTAAAAATGTATTGATAAGAGATACATCTAGAACTTATTTCAATATGTCATTATTTATGTTTCACTGTCTCATTCATGAAACATTTGTCTTTAGAAGAATAGAAAATCTTTATAGCGTAAATGGCTGTACAGACAGCCAATATTCGTTTTTATTGTCTATGAATTGTTTGATCTATTATGTATGCAAGAGAATATGATACACGTATGATGGTCTACGTACACGCATATACTATTATAACAATACTAAATACAATTTTACCTTGGTTCCTTTGCTTTTTCTTGTCAAGTACCACTACTATTTTTAGATTTTTGGAGCTGCCAATTGTAGGGATGTTTACCCGTTCTTCGATAAATTTCATCATGGAGATCTACTATTTTAAATCTTTCATTCAGCATTCTATGTGTTTACATTCAAAGGAATCAGGACCTGCAAAACTGGAGGGTTATGGATGGCATATCAAATCACTGTTTGTTACGTATAACTTGTATAATCATATATATTGTTTAATAATTAATCAAATGGTTATTCACATGAATGTATTAATCATAGTACCTAATTATCGATGGATTTTACTAGTTATATGTAAAACTTACATTTTCAAATTATTTACATTTATTCAAACTTGAAATTGAATAATTTATTAATATTTACTAGTTAAAATTATAAGATGAACAAAACGAAAGTTCAAAATATCATCTGTATCAAATGGCAGAATCAGAATAATTTGATTTTACGATTTATATCGTGTACACAGTTTAAATATTTACTACATATTTAAATTGTGTTGTCTAAAAACACGTGTACAAGAGTGACTGATAATTTTTTGTTATATTCTTGTTGTTCCTTTTTATGTTATATTTTACTTATTTGTAGTTAAAATAAATCTGATTTTTTATGTAACAAACTTTCAAATATGTTATGAAATTAAAATTCTTTTTCTCCAGTCATACATTTATTAGGTGAAATTTTAAAACACAAAATCAATACTTTTCAGGATAAACATTTTATTTATATAATGTAATATAATTAATTATTTTCTTTATATTATTTAAATATAATTTCATAGTTGAATATGTGTGTGTGTATATACATTTAACACAAGCAATATAATCTCAGTAAAAGTTTATACAAATAACGACTTATTAAACCACAGTCTAATTTAGTTGTATCTACGATCCATACGAAATTAATGTTGCCACATAAATGATAGGGATGAAAAGTATTCAAATTTTGATTTATTTTTTTTGTTTCAGTCGTGAATTAAAACGGGCAGTGGTTTGGTATAACTTTAAGTAACGGACAATTTACTACCAATTGTTTATTAACAATTGTTCACTGTGTCTATCAAGTCTTACGTATCGTTTCGTAAAATTTGAATAAGCGTAACTAAAAAGTTTGTAATATGAATAGTATCTTAAACGTAAATATTTAAGTTAAAGAAAATAGTTCTCTTTTTGTTTTATATTACAGCATGTACGTAACAGAATTTATATTTACATCTATGTATTTCAAGAGTATGTTTTTTTATGTATCAATTACAATTCATAATCGAAGTAAGTAAAAATAAACAGTACTTGGTTTTTTTTCAACTACTATCAAAGGTTGTTTGTAAGTAATCAATTCATTTTGTATTATGTATTAATAACAAAATTTAAATATAATTGCAAGGACTAAATTTTGTACAGAATGTTTTTAAAAATTACATTATAACATACATTATATTTTTCGAATTATAACAATGAATAAAGAGTAATGAAAATGTTTCAGGCACAACGGAACTTACCATTGCTTCTAACGAAGAAAATCAATTGGTAGGTATAAATATGTTTGTAATATTTTATACATTATATTACTTTCAGCATTCGTAGAAAGGGAGAAATAGGGTCGTAAGGAAAGGTTTGTAAAAGTATGAATTTTTAACAGGATGGTAGAAATCTTTTTTCAATAAATTTTTTAATTGTCTTTAGAATATATTTTATTTGGCTTATGTATTTTAAATATGTTATTCTGTTTTATATTAACATGTGTTGCAAGTAAATTCGCTTTGTACATATGTACATACGACTTATTGAAAGCTATTACATGTATTATGTATATCAAATACGAATTCATTTATTTTGATATATTTAAATGCTGCTTATTTGTTAAAAACATATAATAATACAGATATATATGTACAGTTATGCGTACAATGTTCATAAAAAGAATATAAATACAATAATAGAATGTATATTTGTGCTTCAAGCGTTTAATACTTCCTTTGAGCTCTATAATTGTAATTCAAAATTATTGTCAAAACGTATATACATCTATGTTAATTATAGCCTCGTAAGTTTTGTAAATATTATTTGCCAGCAAATAATACAAATTCATTGGTTGACCTAATCGGGAGAACTTTTCAACTAAATCTGTACTACAAGAAATCGTACTATTAAGACAACTTCAAACTTCCGGTGGTGGGCCATACATGGGATTTAATTGTTGCGTACAACGTATAAATGTAGCACGACGTGGTAATTCGCGTAATCGCGAAGCTCCCGTGTACGTACACGCAGAGCGTAGACCGCCCAGTATGTCTAAAATAGTATTTTCCACTAGACCTTTGTAAGGTACTTCTACAGTTTTACCTTCCGAAGATCTAAACAAATTAAAAAACGATTACGGTCAAGGCATTTCCAATTATTTGTATACAAACCTGTATTCAGCAACACCTCCAGCGTGTTTCTTCATTGCTGTGCTCGAAGCCATGCCGTAAAATAATTTCAATTTTCTCCCATTCTTTTCTATGACTTCTCCTCCACATTCGTCATGTCCAGCAAACATACCGCCTGCCATCACGAAATCGGCCCCAGCGCCAAAAGCTTTTGCTAAGTCGCCTGGACAAGTACAACCTCCATCCTAGAATCATTTGGTGTACAAGGATGTAAGAAGGTTTCATTACCTGTATTGCTACTTGTAAAGTTATAGTATATAATATTTACCGAAATTATATGACCTTTTAAACCGTGAGCAGCATCAGCACATTCGATTACAGCACTTAACTGTGGATATCCTACACCAGTTTTCATGCGTGTAGTACACACAGATCCAGGGCCAATACCAACTTTAATCACATCTGCTCCAGATAGTATCAGTTCTTCTACCATTTCTCCAGTTACCACATTCCCTGCCTATAGAGAAATAAATGGTACTAAATAATTAAGCAATATTTTTTTTGTGATCCTTTTAGAAATGATAACAAAAATTACAGAATTACTTACGATTATAGTATGACTAGGGTACTCGGCTCTCACTTTCCTAACATATTCTACAAAATGTTGCGAATATCCATTAGCAACATCTAAACAAATGAAAGATAGTTCAGGGACAGCAGCTAGAACACTGGACAATCGTTCAAAGTCTTCTTTTCCTGTACCAGAACTAGCAGCTACATTTTTAAGGCATTCATGATTTTGTATCGCAAAATCTTTCCATTCCTCTGCAGTATAATATTTATGAATAGTAGTGAAGAGACCATGCTAGAATATAACAAAACTAATATAAAAATTTGAATTGATGAGTATTATATGGTGTTAAAATGTACCTTGGATAATGCCTTTGCCATTTCAAATGTTCCTACTGTATCCATATTTGATGCCATCACAGGAATTCCCTTGTAAGTTTGTTTTGAATTACGAAATGTAATTTCTCTGAATAGATCAACCTAAAATTGTAAAACGTATTGCTCATTACCAAATAATTCAAATTTAAAAAATTAGAAAACATGATATTTCTGGTTAAGTTAAATGAAACAGTTTCTAAGGACATTTTTTTTATTATACGGATGTATGAGAGTATTTTTCAGTGCTAGATTCCAAGAAAAAAAGTTGGGTGTGTTCTATCATTATAATTTTAGATTATGTTCTACTGTGCATACCATTTAAATGGGTTTCATAAAAAAGATCTAAGGATGCAGACATATGTAAACTTTCGTGAAATTGAAAATATTACTTACATCGGATCTACTTTTCAATGTACTCCTTTTCGGACGTAACAAAACGTCTTTGAAATCTAATTTGATGTCGTTTATGATGTTAGGCATCTTGATAGGCGATTATTTATGTCACTTTTATCACACGACTTCGAACGTTCGAGCTGAGTTACGAGGACGAATGTGTTCACATCACCGTGTTCTTTGCTTGTAAATAGTTTCGCGGCGATCTCCCTAAAGGCGTACATACATACTGATACATACTAGTATTGTCGTTTAGTTGTGTTAATAAAAGCAATAAGTATCATTGCGTTTTATTGAATGTCATTGGTTTAACCATGTTTAATAGAAAGAATTACTAATAATGTTGCAAGATAGCTTCGGTATTCACCGACCAATGTAAATAAGACAATTGTAAAAACATCAAGTAGCGAAATAATGAAATTATTTTGTATAATAGAATATATTATTTTCATGCATCACTTTTAACGAATTCGAAATAATGAAATAACGATTTTATTTTATATACATTTATTAACCCACCTACACTTTTTACTTTCAAATTATATGAGAGAAAACGGAATTCTATTATCGACTGCAACGGCTATAACTGCAGTTTCTCGCAATCATTACTTTTATGCTGAATCGACATAACTGTTGCTAAGCAGTTTTCATAAATTGATTCGAACTAAACAATTTGCTACAACTTTTTAAGAAACGATATATTTAACATAACTTGTTACCATACTTGGTATGCAACAATAATTATTTTTATTGTATTACTCATACAAAGGTAAATCAAACGGTATCACTTATTCAAGAGTTGTGTATTATAATTAATAAATTGTCATGCTATGTTTACAATTATATGGAATGAATTATATGTAGCAACGTTAATAAAAGTATTACAATTTTTAAATATACATTTTAAGCTATTACCAATTACACTAATTAAGAGTATAAAATAAACTTATAATATTAGCAAATCTTATTGTATTTGTATTATTATAAATGACTTCTGCTAATAAGACACATGACTATGATCAAGGCAGTTAAAAGCTTTTTCATTAAAATTCACGACTCATGTAAATGATGAAATTTGATGACTAGGCTGTATCATGTTAAAGAATACTAATAAACTCGACAACATGTATTTATGTGTTTTTATCAAATTAATGATTCGAAAGACAATTAAAAATAGGGGCAGTATAAGAAAGGAAAGAGTTTTTCACATATCCTGAAATTCGCCAGTACCATTAGCATTGAGCATAAGTATGTTAGGATTTTCCTTTTCGAAAGCAGTTGCATCTCTGCCTCCAGCTCGTTCTTCCTGCCCCCATTCACCTAAGGTCGCGTTCATTACATCCGGTTGGTCTTGCATCTCTTTCTCCTCCTTCTGCGACATTAATAACAGAGCATATCGTTAAAATACTGAGTAGAAACTTGTTTCAAATATATATTGGTCATGTTAAGTTATATCAACGATATTGTTTATCATAAGATTTATTTATTATACAATATATACAAAAAACAGACTATAGCTTATTAGCATTACATAACAAAAAAGTAACCAAACATTGAACATGTAATAAAAAATTAAAAACGTATTAGGTATCCCGTATCCCGTATTAGGTAAAATTATTGCTATTTTTCACAAACCTGTTTGTCTTCTCGAGCAAATTTTTCGAACATATTTGCATATAAGTTTTTCTCTTTTACTAATTGTTTCTTAATAAGATTCTTACAAATTTCAATTTGTTTGATAGCTGCTGTATTTTTTGGTTGTATTTTCAAAACCTCTTCAAAATCTTTAATTGCAATTTCAGGTGATGCTAGCCTAAGATAAGCTTGTCCCCTCCTGAATAGCGCTTTTTCATTGTGAGGACTTAACTTCATAGCTTCGGTACATGCATCTTTTGCTTCAACATTCCGATCTAGTTTCAAGTAGCAGAGAGCAAGGTTTAAGTACGTAGACAAAAAAAGCTTATCCTTTTCAAGTTTTCCTTCACCTGCTACACATTTCAGAAATAATTCAGCCTTTTCATACATTTTAATAGCTAAATTGTACTTGTTTGCATTGAAGTAAGCGGTTCCTTTGTCTTTGAAAATCTTTGACTGCTCTACTCTTTCATTATCATTTAAAGACCAATTTTCGACACCCTGAAATGTATAACAAAATGTCAGTTAAAATAAAATATTGTAAATACATTATACTACTTGGCTTCTGATGAAGTAATTACTTTTTCAAAACTTTTCAATTCTACTATATATTCTACAGTTGCATTCGGAGGTATGTCAAATTCTGGTTTTCCTATATCTTTAAAAGCATGTTTACTCTTAATTTCCAGTCTTGATTTTTCTCCAGTATTAAAGAGTGTTAAGGCATGTTCCACACCACTTACAACACCACAATCCTCTCCTTCTCCAAGAGAGAACTGAACATCTCTATCTTCGAATACCTTACTATTGTACATTCCCGTTAAATGAACTAAAAAAAAGAAACAAAATTAATATGAAGTACATCATTTGTATTGAAAAAGTAATCCTACACGATTAGACTTACTATTTACTAAAGCTCCTTCTTCTGGACTGTTAACATATTTCCCTACAATAATCTTGTATCTCTTAATACTTCCATCATTGTCAGGGCTTATATCTTCTGCTTGCCAATCGATCAATTCAATCTAAAATAAGAACACAAGTGATCTGCATGCAATATTGAATAACAAAGGAAATTAAAAATCATTCATACATATGAAATTCATATTAAACTATTAAAAAATACATTAGTAAAAACAGAAAATTACCTCAAATTTAAGTGTAGCATTTGGTGGTATTACAGGTGGATTACCATTTTTCCCATATGCATATTTGGGAGCACACGTCAGCATTGCAATTTCACCTTTTTTCATTGTAGCCACACCAATGTCCCAAGCTTTGATGAGAGATCCCTCTTTGAGTTTAAATTTAAAGTGTCCATTACGGTCTTTGCTTGTATCGAATATTGTTCCATCCATGAAGTAACCAGTGTAATCTACTATTACATTACAGCCAGGTGATGGAAGTTCATCTCCAACACCTTCTTTGATAATTTCTTTTAAGACACCTTCATCCTTTTTAGGGGATATGTCTACTACAACCATTCTACATAAATAGAAAGAAACTATAAATGAAATAAGTGCTGAAACTTCTACAAGAAACCATGAAAGCTAAAGCAGATTTAACCCCTACAAGTATTTATGTCAATATAAATAGCATAATTTTTGTAAAGCTTCTAGGTTAATCATCTATTGATATTATAGCTTCGTATAATTAATTTATTGTCGTAGTATTAGACTCTTTTGCAAGTAACGAATATATAAACAAAAATTATTATAAATAAATAGAAAATAAACAATAATATAAAACAAATTTCTACTATAAATTTTGAAAAGAAGAAACATAGTACAGATCACACTTTCTAATAAAAACAAATAATTCAAACAAATAATGTAAAACAAACATAACGAAAAATACGTACATTATTTATACGCGTGTAATGGTCCAGTAATAAAATAGCGTTTCACACACAGGCTGTAAAAACCTGTTCAAATTCACGCAACAATTCCAGAAACTTCCTCCTCGCAGCCTACGAGTTACAACTCGTAAATTTCATAAAGTTTACTAGAAATACTAAAGCATCGTTTTCATATCAATTATCGACCTTTAACCGCTACATATCGATTTTAATATCGATATATTTTCCTCGATACTACTTTCGATTATCAACAAAGTTATCTTTCCATGTATCGATTGTTGGATGCTTTCCACTTTATTTTGATGTTTATTACGTGTTATGACTTTAAATTCGAAAGAAGTTGTAATTGACTATTGTTTTCCTCCTCGTTTTTTGTTTTAATTAACGGGCCCCTAGCAGGAGGCAATCCGAAACACGCATGAGTCATAACTTCATGTTCGCGAAGGCGTAAATTCACACTAGAATTCAAGGTTTCTAATAATTATTTTTTGAAAACCAAGAAGATGATTTTTTTCGATTTTTAACGATGATAGACATTCCAAACAGCATACGGAATATAAATTGGGATATATATCGATGTAGGAATTAATCATTTTGAACATCATTTTACAATTCGATAAATCATAAATGGAAAGAAACATCTACTTCAGATATAATCATTGTTCTTTGCAGCGAAAATATTTATAAATTGTATGTTACGTTAAATTATTTGTAATTGTATGTTTTCTACGAATAAATTTTACTACCTTAAAATGACGTTATAGTTAAGCAAACACGATGATTGTTATGACTATAAAATTACAGGAAATGTTACAGCGCAATTGTAGTTTTCTGATTTAAGATAAAGATTGTAATTGCACAGTAACAAGTATAAATACATAAGCAGTCAGAGTACGATACAGTCTTTTTTTTAAATACGGCACGTAAGATGAAGTGGCTTAATATTCAAATCTTTCTTCTTGTGGTGTTTTGCATCATGGTAGGATTTCAATAATAAATTCTATGTTAATAAAAACATGTTAGGAGTGTAGAAGAACGACAGAGATAAAAAATGGCATTAGTTGTTCATATCGTTATTTATATATTAAATAAAGAAGGCGTTGCTTTATTATCAATGATATTATAATCGTACGGATATCGACGCAGTTTATATTGAAAACGTTATTTAATTTCTGACATTTTAGTCAGATTATTATTATATTATATTATATTATTATTATTATTTTCATTGATAGGCATCTGTGATGTCCATAAATTCTGAACCTTCTATGGCTGGACATCATGATGCAGGAGTAGGAGTTGCATGTCGAGGGGGTGGTCGAAGACGACCACACGGACCACCACCAAATGGTGGCGGAAATGGAACAGACACCGGAAGTAACAATGGCGGAACGGGTAGGGCATTACATATGTTTATAGCGTTATAAATTAATAAAGTGCATTCAGAAAGATCACCGATAGTAAAATATTCCGCTATTTGAAAAATAAATTCTTTGGGTTTGCATTTATTTAAATAGATACAGAGGTTTGAGAAACTGGACTGGACTCTTCAGGTGTTGGGACAATGACGATTAAGGGCGATAAGGTGTTAAGCATAAAAAAATTAAATAATCAGGAAACTATAGAGTATAATTTATATTTTGTGTAATTATATTTTTTTGTAAAAATAAAGTGTCGTTATATATACATATAGAAAGTATGTACACTGTGTAATTTTTTTAGGCTTTATTTTCGTGAATATCGGCTACCTTTTTAACAAATCGATATATACACTCTTAATTAACAATATAACGTTATTAGATTGCATATAAATGTATACATCAAGGTTTAGATTTATACAAAGTATTTCAATACTGATAACGTGCGTAGTTAAAATGGTTTTATAACTATAATATGCGTACACTTTAATTATTTTGAACAACATTGATAGTGGTATTTTTACTTATGAATTTTTACTTATACAAGTATTTATACAATTTTAAAATGGTAATTTACACTATACTTATTAAATATAAAACAGTATCAAACGCTTAAATGGAATCTTTCTCAATAATAATGCATACATGTATTTCCATTTTTTAAATTATACTATTTATCTTATTATATTAACATTTACATATTATTACCATCTTACAATTATGAATTGTAGGTTAATATGTAAACGAGTTACCTAAAGCTGGAATCGAGAATAATGCTTCTTTGGAGATGTGGACAAATTATTAAGAAAAAAATGATCTCAAATTCATATCACCAAAACCAACTGATATATTATAGATTCGAGAGATTTTTGACTCCTACATATGTAATTAATGGAAACAATACAAAATATAGTTGCATAAACAACAATTATATATTGTACAAGTATTTCTAAATTTTTTATTATCATTGGTTTTAGGGAAAGATATGTATAGGCCAAAGGAGCAATGTTTATATATTCAAATATATTAATTTAAATCAAAGTACACTGTGAAATTACCCCCAAAAGATTGTAACAATTAAAGCAATTATTATTAATCTAAGGAACATTGTTCTTATTGTTACATTTTTAAATGTATTATTTCTTTCTAGACATAAATATTTCCATGTTTTACATGGTAATATACTAATGAAAACCAGTTTATTATAATGAATTTTGTTCAATTGTACCTCTTTTGATAATTTTGTATCTCTTCAATAACTCTGATAAAATTTAATAACAATATTAAATCCTTTAAAATTACAGCATTTTTTATCATTTTTGTTCCAATTATAAAATAGTATAAAAAGAAGAAAATATGATGGTATAGAAGTACATTATTTCTTGTATCACTGTTACAATTTTTCTCATTTTATAATATTTGTAAATTATATATTACACAGTACTTATTCAACTAAATATGATAATATAAAAATTTTCATTTTGTTACACGTATGTTTAAAATTTCAAGGTATATAAACTAACTTTAATAAGCCCTTCTTTAATCATACATACTGCATATATTTACTTCTTCAGTAAATGGGTGAGGTCTTTATTTTGTTTTTGAAGCATTACATCTGTCTTCTCTGCTTTATCTGTTATGTTGTCAATTAAATCATTTTGCAAATCTATTTCTTCTGATAATCCTATTGCCAAGCCTTTCAATCTAGCCAATGAACCGCTCATTTCATCTAAATTCTTTTCTAAAATTTTGCTCACGTTGTTGCTCACAGAACTATTAACCTCTGCTTCATCATCTAGACCACGTAACTTTAATGCAGGACTAGTATTAGCTATATTGGACTGTACTTGTTCTAAAGAGTTACACAGTGCAGGTGATGTCATAGATTCAGAACTAGAAGACTCTGATAATTTAGTAGATGGTATAGGTCCATCCAATGATTTACCACTGAGATAGTTTTTGAGACTCCCAAATACACTTTTTATTCCTTGAATATGTTTCTGACTAAATCTTAAGGTACTATTAATATCATCTAATCTTTTCTCTGTTCTTTCTAAATGTTCTCTCTGTCTAATGAGTTCCTGAAATGAAAGTATATAAGTGTACCAACTAATCAAAATATTAACATGGTATCTATTAAATGCTTTCTCAATAATATTTCAAAGGCATGTACTTTGTTTAAAATTTGATATACATATGCACACATATATTTATTAATTAGATCACAAATTAATTATAGATCTTTAATTTGATTTCTAAGAAATGTACTACAATGATGCTCGTTATCTGTACGTCGCAATACAATAAACAATAAAGATTTGCTGGATTCATCAACTGTCATAAGAATTGAATGATAGTCTCTACGAATTACCTCTGCAGTGGCAGCTCCAATCTGCTCAGAATCCCTCAACAACGAAATGGATCTTTCCGATGATTGTATCGTACGATCTTCGATATCCTTTCTTCGTTGCAACAGTTGTTGATGTTTTTGTTCGAGTTCGTTGTCAGCGTTATAATAATGATTATAAGTCATACGGCCAGAAAACCTTGGCGGTGCACTTTTTAGAAAGGTTTCGTCGTCCATGTCATCCTCACAAGAGAAAAACGAGTGGTTTGGGTTACTTAAATAATTCTGGCTTGCCATTTTCTAGCGTGTACCGTGTTTCTTTATGAGATAACTGCTTCTAAGTCTGAATTAATTTTTCGACACTGTAATCATTCGACAACGTAAAATTTGTATGTAGTTAGCAATAGTTAGCAACTGATCAACTGACTAACTGACACTAGATACACTACAAGAGATTGTGCCAGTGACTCTCAAACTATATACCGAGGAATTACGCACAAGATTATTCTAATAACTCTCGAGCCTTTATCAAAATATGTATAGATCATTGATAGTTCATTGTCCACTGAATAGTATGAGAAATCATTCTTTGTTCTTCGTGATCATAATACGTTGATATATTATTGTTATTGGTTTCAAAGTTATGTACATTTTTTTGTTTTATACATTCGCCATCAGATGACACTTGACGCCATTATCTAAGTGGTAGAAGTACGACTTAGAGAACTACGTACACCTAGGACAAGAGAAAGTGATGTGAAGTTTGTGAATTCTTTTCGAGAATTTTAATAAACCAATGATTGTAATATAACTACAAATTCATTAGCAAATGCGATAAAATGTGTAATTTAAATATACTAATTAAATATTACAATGTCGGTAAAAATAGATAAATGGCGCCATCTAGCCTTAAAAGTGGGAAACCTTTCGACAATTTTTCTGAAGTGAATTTTAATATAACAATGATTGTAGTATGACTTGAAATTCATTAGCAAATGCGATGAAATGTATAATTTAAATATTCTAATTAAATATTACAATGTCGGTAAAAATACATAAATGGCGCCATCTAGCGGTGACAATGGGAACTATTCGAGGACAAGCTTGGGCGTTTTCCCGGTGGTGCGCTGTACGGAGGTCGGAATTTTAGTTCCTTTTGCAGATTTAACGGGAATCAAAAATAACAATACACACAACACTCAGAATCACAGAAGGACACCAACAATACAATAAAACACAGAAATATATACAGACATACTACACTCAGAACAAAAACATATCTAGTACAAAGAAACACACTTAGGCTAAGATGACTTGTAATATTAAGTATTATATGTAACAATGTAAATATTTCTATTTTTGTATTGTCTTTTATATATTTAGGAGTAATAGACCTACACAGGTTTAAAGTTTGTATATGTTTATAATTTTTTTAATAAACGCCAAACAAACAACAACACGAATTTTAGTTCCATCTATCCACCGCGAGATGGCGGTACCGTCGTTTGGCACGAAATTTGAACTTAGTTCATAGATTATATTAACAATACACTTTAAAAGAAAGCAGAGCAGCCAAGCAACATACAAACCGCCAGAAGAAGCTAATAATATTATTTCCAATGTTTCTAGAATTATAATTTCAAATTATACACTGCATTATTGTATTAAATGTTTATCCATCATCTACCAATGTCACGAAGTAACGCTACACATTAAATAAAAAAAATTTTCTTTGTATCTAAGATACATATAAACATCGTGCAAAGGATGAAAGTCAATACTTTCGTTAATTTTTTGTAAATTAATTCCCCAAAGGCTTTATTCTGGGACAATACGATTGTATAGGTCCTGGAAGCCCCGATTTCACCGTCAAACGAAAAGGGAAACATGGAAAACGGTAGTTTCGTCCAGGTTTCCTACCTGGGGCCGCAAAGTAAGGGCGCGCGCAACTGCAAAAGGATTTCAGAGATCCATACGCAGAGAGGACGTTTTATTACAGTTTTTATCCGTAGATTAGCCCCTTTGGAACCATCGATACTCGATTCAGGTCTTTTATAGCCCACCCATAAAAGTATCTATTTGGTGTTTTCGACTGTGGACCGACTGGACCGAGCAACTCGAACAAAAAGGTATCCCCCTTCTCTCGCGATGCATCCCCAAGAATTTCTCGGTATACGTGAAACGTTGTTGCGTCTCGGGGTCCAATTACGTACGGGTTTGCCGACCAGACAACGTTCTTTCAGAATTCAAGACGCCGTGCGTCCTCCTGCGCTTTATCTTCGCTCTTCTGGTACAGATTCCCAGCGAACACTTTTCGAGTTCTTTGTCGCGACTTCGGCCAGCCATCGCGCCAGTTCGCACTCCTTTCTTGGACGATTTCGACCATACCACGTCGTAAATCCTATCTACTATATCTACTCACCCTCTGGACCATTCGTGTGTGTATTCGCTTCCTTGCGAGCCATTTCGTAGTCGAAGGATTTTGATAGATTTTAGAAGATTTTCTAACCGAGGGTTTGCTTTAGACTTAGGGAAGCCAGTAATAGTAAAGTTAAATGGAGGAGCTCTCTCTTAATGAAATGAATATTTGTAAAAATATCACAAAACCATTCTTTGAACATTTTCACATCAGAGATTTCACAGATTTATACATCTACGTTTTGAAAATAAGTATCCAGGCAAGCAGTTTTAAATATTATCTAAATCTTATTCGATCCATTTTGCTAACCACTCGCTTCCTTCCATCCCTGCAATGCTCAGAGTCGTCTATGCGTCTTCTCGGTTACCCCCATCTCCTTCCACAGCTTCAATCTCTGACCCCCTTGCAAAACAACCACCCTGTCCGCCCGCGCGAATTTTCTAGACGCCGTTCGAGTCATCGTCGATACGCCGCGGTTGCGTTAAATTCGCCAAGTTGTTCTCCAATCGACGGTTGAACGCGGGGGTGGAGTTGCTCGTGGAGAATCTCGGTTGCGTGCAAGCAGCAGGGGTTGTTTTCAGGGGATGAAGAGAGGCTGGGGTCGGACATCGATCTGGTAGTTAAGTTCACGGCTCCCGAGGGACTCGTTGCCGGCGTCGCAGGCTTCGTCTACTCTTTGCTCTCCTCTTCGATTCTCTATGTGTGTCTGTGGGTGCGCGAGAGTCCTGTGGATCCTGCTGGCATCGGTTTCACGGCCTCGCCGTTCACATAAACCGCATTACACGTTTTTATGCTCGCATTTATGTACGACCTAACGAGACCCATTCGAGCACCCTGGCTAACTATTCTTGGCGGTGGAAGAACGACAAACAAATCTCAGGAAAAGCTCAACCGGAGTCTTCCCGTTGATTTAATCGTTATTGCGTGCCGTGCCGGGTTATTTAATGCTATAGGACCAGGGTCTATTTGATTAATTATTTTTTTAAATCCACACTAAGGTATTAATTGCTTCTTGGGGTAATAAACCTACCAGCTCTTAGTTTCAGATATTACATAAAACTCCAGCAATTACATGTAACTGCGTAATGAATCAAACGTTGCGTTTCCAAATGTGAAAGTCGACCATGTGTTTTAATACCAACGTTGTCATTATTGTCTATTAATACAGCACAATTTGATATCGCTACGATAACGTATTTTATTTCTCTATCGCACTGGTTCTACATTTTATGTAGAGTCAGTTTTAAGATGGATAAAAACCGCAAACTGTGAGAAATTGTATGTTTCGAGGGGAGGGCACTTGGGCGTGGTAGGGCGTGTTAACTAATCCTATTGAAGGGGTCATAAACAGTTGATACATAAGACAAATCAAGCCTTTTGACCCTCATAATGGGCTTTTGTCTATTCCAAAGCTCTGCCAGCAGGGATTCCAAACTACAGTTCTTGGATTAAGGCAAAAATATTCTTAGCACCTGTTCGTCATGCAGTCACGTCCTGCGTAATGGACATGATTTTAACATGATTAGTTGTCATTTAGAAACAAAAACGAAACCTGCGAATCCAAGGGAGCAAAGTCGATCATAGCTTCAAGCACTGTAACTAGGTAGCATTAAATTCTTTTCAAAACAACTTGGATCGTAGAAAGGAACTGTGCACTCCAACTGGTTGATTTTCACTCTCAAGATACTCCCGCGAATCGCCCATAAACGACAAACAATAAAGTGCAATGAAATCGTACGACGCGACGGGACGATAACGATTGAATCGTCGTAACAGTTCCGTGAAATTGTTATTTTCCCAAGAGTTCCCTCGGTGTCTCCGATTGTACGTAAATACGAACACAGGAAGCGTAATGCGTTCGCCAATCGTGGACGAAACATTTTTCAGGCACGTACGCGAACTTTCGAAGAAAGTATTGGAAAGTATTCGAGTATTAAAAAATACCTGATGGGAGAAAGTTGACTGTTCATTCAAACGTGTTAGAATCCTAGAATAGACTTTGCGGGGAAATATGAAATTGGAAGTTAAAGTGCTCGATTCGTTATTGACATCCAAGGACAGAAATGAAATGAACGATGTGGTTAGTAAACATAAGACCGTGTATTTTGAAATTTAAAATGCGATCACATATCGATATAATACTAGGCTTAACGATCGTCTAAACATTCATAGTGTTAATAATGTTAATAGTTAATAGATTAATAACTTACGGGATTGCGGTACTTATATATGTATGTATATATATATGTATATATGCATATATACACACACTTATGAGATTTTTCGGTGTTGATTACGATCCGTCTCATCCACAACATGTTTACAGGGAAAATCGTGAATCGTTAGGGGTTGGCAACGCTCAAGGCACACGGCGCGTAAAACGCTTCCTTTCATCTCGAAGAAACGTGATCCTTTCTCGCTTCTTATTGTCGTTCAAATTTTAAGAATGAAACAAAGCTACGGGGAACGTGATTCCCGTGCTAAAAAGAAAATGAAAACAGAGAAAAAAGAAACACGTTCGGAGAGCGAAGCCTAAAATTGGAGGATCGAAATCGATACGGTTAAAACCTTCCTTCTCGTCGATTAAGGCATACTTTTTACGTATATAATTTTCCTTCTAACTATGATACTCTAACGCGGAACGGACAAGTGGAGCTCGTGTTCGCGTGTTATCCACCAGGAGATTTCAATGAGCGTCTGAAAAAGAGCGCGCATGTTCGTTGCACGTTGCTTTTCTCTCCCTGGCTCGATTTTCTATTTTTTTAGGATTCTAGAACTGTCGATCACGCAACGATGCAATGCCGAACACTAGGGTGGCTCATCAGCTTCTTTGACCTTAAGTTTCACTTTTGCTTTTGGTTGAGCAAGCAAATTTTATTTATAAGAAAGAATCGATAGGAGCAGTATTATTATTTATATGCGTAGAAAGAAACTTGAAAAATTCGAAAATGCAATTCCAAAGCAATCCCTATACTCCGGGTCACTATACAAGGTACACAAAGTTGAGGATAAAAGAACTACCAATTTAATAGATAGAATATACCGTTCCTGATAGTTTAGAACACGAAAAAAGCGAAAATCTCATGGTCCACCCCAGCAAAGTCGCGCACGTTCGTTTCGATACATTTTTAAATATGTTTACGTATCATGTATTTACAAATTAGGCGAAAGTGCAGCGTCTAGACGATAACAGACGTTTCTTCGCGAATTATACGTCGCTCGAAGAGATTGGAATCGAGAGAAGCCCATGTTCTCGTTGTTTCTTGCATTGCGCCCGCGCAACAATAGCAATTGGGCATTAGGCGTAGGCGATTTTTCAAATTTTTGCTTGCCAAGGACGCGAGTCGATCGTGTTTTCATGTGAATCACGAATCATCGACGGGGAACGATTTTCTTTCGATTGCTGGAATCTACAATCGCGAAAGAAAAGGATGTTCGTTTCCATGAAAATCTAATGGCGCACGTATGCTTTGAAAAATCGGTTCTATCGCGGCACAGACACGCTTTACTTTCTATAATCGAGCCTATAATTTCACGAAGCTTATCAACTCTTCGCAGAACGATAGGTAGTTAAATCGAGTAATCGCTAGAAAAATGTCCAATCAAGCACAATGGTCACCTTCGACGATTTAACCCTCGTGTACTTTGCACTACCCTGAGAGTGTGCCATATCTTCACGGTTTTATTATTTTCGTTGAAAATTCGTATTCCGAAACGTTAGAAAACTACTGAAATTTTTACATCGCGAAGAGTTAATCGGTCTTTTCTATACTTTATACCATCTATCTCCCTCTTATGTCGCCATTCTTGAAACAAACCTTCGAAGAATTAACAGAAGAAGCGAATTTAAAATGACTCAAGAAGATCAGAAGGAAATACTATCACCAGCCAATCAGGTTCACGTAAATCTTCCCTTTTTTTTAATTCTGATCCATCCTTATTAATTTAAGGGATCGTGAATACCAATGCGATGCCAAGGGGTTCCAGCGTCATAAACTTTATTCTATTTACAATTCGTAAGTATCGTGTACCATCACTCGCACAAGGATTGCCTTCGAAAACGTTTCGAAAATACTGCGACGCTATAATAACATTACCAACACATTTTTTTTTTTTCACGGAGATTAATAAATGGAAACGGAAACGAGATCTTCGAGTCGACGCGTTCTCAGGTGGTCGATTTCGCACGCGACTGTCCCTTTTCGGATCGATGCCGCGTTCCGTCGTCGCGAATCGAGCGATTATTCGATTTTAGAGAAAATTTACAGAGTCGTTTGATCCCGTTCGCGTCGATTTTCTCATCGAGAAAGAAGGGTTCCGCTGGGAGACTTCGGTTCACCTATAAACGCTATATTTACAACAATCGACCCACTGACACTCGTAGAGACGCTCTTTTCTCGATCAATGCACCCTGAAACGAAAATCACGTTCACCGATAAAACAACATCGGGACATACCTTAACACGTCTAATTTGTACATATTACACTTTAAAAAAATATATAAAACAGTCTGCTATGGCGCCCCCTTGGAACGCACGAGTGTCGAAAAACCTTAACCGAAGAGAATATCTTTCTCTCTTTCTCTCTCTCTATATATATATATTTATATATATCTAATATTATTATTTTCCCACCGTTTAAACCTAACTTAACGCAAACGTTAATATTTCGCTAATCGCATTAGACGCAACCGCTCGCGTACGAGTGACGGCGGTTTAAGGCAAGGATTGCACGTTTTTCTCGATCGTTGTCCTGTTATGCATATCAGGGTCCGATTAGGTGAATTCGTTCGTTGTCTTGGTTGATTCGTAACGTCGTGATCGAGGATTCGAACAACGGAAACGTCGCGTCGCTGTTTCGTAACAGAGTCGGGCCTCGGTTCTCCGCGATTACGCTTATAATCGTCGCCTACACTTGTCAGCTTAACACGTTGACCGCCACGTCGCTAATATGTGACGTGTGTAACAAGGATTTTCACCGAGGAATTAAATAAATTAATTGTAAAGGTGAGAAGTCACAGAAACTACATCAGGCGATGAATCGATGAATCAAAAATTTCAGGAATAATTCCTCGCAGGAATTTTGATGATTGCGTTTCTGGCGGTCACCGTGTTAAACTCCACGCTTGTAATCTAGGGACGTTGGTAAACAAGTGTAATCGTCGATCATCGATCGCATTCGTAATCGTGGATTACATTTCGTCTAACGCCCAGGGCTCGTCCCCCCAGAGAAGGAAAGTAAAATTATATACATATATATGTATATATATATTACAAAAACGTAACTGGAACATGATCCTAGCGAAATTGAAAATAATACTGTATACAACCGTAATCGCACACGCAGACTCTCGCGAAGTCGTCGACGCCAAGCTTGAACCGACGCGAGGGATAAGAAAAAATCGCTGACAAACGGTTGACTCCACGGATCATCGAAATGGTTAATAATAATAAAAAAAGTCTCCGTTTCCACGCACAATCACCGCAGGACGGACAAATACAAGTTCCGGTCTTCGCGATCTGTCGATCGAAGACCGTCGTTTTCCTCGATCCTCGATCGCGAACAGATTCCGATAAACACGGGGTTTCCTTAACGATTCGCGGGATAGCCGAAAGTGGGGCGATTCCTCGTTCAAAAATTAATCGAGAATGGAGACTAAGGTTTTTTCACAGTAGGCTTAATTCAGATAATTGATTTTGAAAGAATATGGAGGTTAAAAGGAAACGAAGCCGAGGCTAATTCGTCGTGCAAAAAAGGAATTCAAAACGAAAAGTAAATGGCTTACGTAAGAGGCTTCCTGTAGGAGATCAATGTTGAAAATAGGTGGAGCTGGAACGAAAGTGGAGCGATTCCTCGATTCTAAAAACGAATCGAAAGGGAACTGATGAAAGCTGGAACTGGATCTTTAAACTGACACGCTAATAAAAAAGACAAAGTGTTGAAAAGCGCAGTCGCGCATTTGAAAGAAAAATGTTATTCTCCGAGTGCTACGCGTTTCTTTCGCGAGGAATCATCCCTTCCTCGGTTGTGCCCCGAATTTCAAAACTGAAGATCGTGGATCGACGATGATCGAGCGTGGTGTTTCGGATCTCCTCGCGATCGCGGATTCAAGAGAGAGACAGTGAAGCGTTGCGAGGTCAGCCGTGGTTGGACCACGTTTCTGCGATCGGTTCCTCAGGTCACAAGCCTAATACCGTGTGCGGATGAGCGTGCTGGTGGCTGTGGAGATGTAGAGAAGCTGGTCCGTGGCCTAAGCTCAAGGTATGACCGGGATGACCGAGACCAAGGGGCGAGGAACCACCGTTGTGCATCATACCGCCTAGCATGCTCATTTCCTCGAGGGTCAAGTTGGCCATCGCTCGCGTAGGTGTGCCATCCGGCTTCATGTCCTTCTGCTCCTGCTCCTCGCGCTTCTTCGACTGTTTCCGTTCTTTCGCTCGCCGATTTTGGAACCAGATCTTCACCTGGAACAACGGACAAATTCGACTTTTTCAAAAGGTGAACGTCGGAGGAAATAAATGGAAACGATAGGTAGGTGCTGTTAGGAGATGCTCGCCCAACACTGTTACATAGGATAGGATTTGATCAGCCTGCAGGACTGTTCAATATCAACGTAAAAGTATCGAGTCAACAGTTTCTAAATTTCTACGGTCATTTCTTTTTATTACAACCAATCTATCACGTATAGTTGTAGTGAAAATGGTTACGAGATGCTCTAATTTATATTTCCTCGGTTATTATTATTATTATTATTATTACTCACAGTGCAATTCTCGAGATTTTTATTTTGTTACATCGTCAGCAGCTTCGAGCCCTGCAGGCTTTAACAAAATTTGGTATGGCGGAGAAGTCTAAACGAGCTACCCCCGAGTATTGTTGCCCTTGGTAGCTCAGAATCGAGCATTTTTTTTAAAAGTGGTTGACTCGTTCACTTAACGTATCCAATTTAGAAACTCACCTGTCGTTCAGAGAGCGCTAGAGTGGCGGCAAGTTCCGCCTTGCGACGAATCGTGATGTAACGGTTGAAATGGAACTCTTTTTCGAGCTCCAACCTCTGATGATCCGTGTAGACCACTCTGTATTTGTCTTTTGTTCGAGTCTTTCCTGAAAAAAAAGAGAAGGCAAAGATAACGCTCGACATTATTACACGTTTAATATCTACTTCTCTAATTCTCGTGTCAATAACGCGTTAAGGAGATAACGCTTTCGACGATCGCACTCGTAGGCACATCTCGCGAGGGTATTAATAAAGTAACCAAACGAGATTTAAAAACATTGCACAGCAACGAGCATCGAGGCGCGAACGACAAACACGTGACGGGGCGAAAAATAAGACGAACAAAAAAATTGAACAACTCTCGAGCAAAGGAAGCGCAAGTTTCGAGGTGCTCCGGAGCTGACGAGCGATTCGCTAAGCTGCAATTAATGCGATCTGTCGTCGGTTTTACTTTTATCGTGATTGGAACGGGCCAGTTTTATCCAGGAATGGGCATAATTCTCATCTGGATAAAAAAGTTTGAATAGGAAACACGGGATGAACGTTTACGATTGTTAAGGGAAGCTTAAATAAATTAATTCTGGAAGTGAGGTGTCAAAGGATACGTTGGTGCAAAAATAAATACTACGACAAATGAACTAAATTTCCAGGTGATGAGAATTACTCTGGCAGGCAAGGTGTTGATATATACAAACAATTATTCTAATATTTCAAGCCTTAGTAGTCATGTGCGTTTAATTAGAAAGTCAAGTATTTCATGGCGTATAAGAGATAAACATTTTTTATTCGATACTTCTGGCAGGAGAATAACATTATTTTCAAATAAAAACTCGAATAAAATTGTGCCCAAGTTTGGTTTTACCGAGAGTTGTGTAACAGATAAGAAAAAGCTGCAACATCGACCAGCCTAAATTATCTATAAGCATCTCTTGCAATAATTAGAAATTACCTGTTCGCCGATAAGAGAAGCGAAATACAGCGGTGATCGCAACGATACACTGATCGACTCGTAATTTTTACTCAATAATCTCTCTGTTTCTCTCTCTCTCTCTCTCTCTCTCTCTCTCTCTCTCTCTCTCTCTCT